TTTTTTTTTTTTTTTTTTTTTTTTTTTTTTTTTTTTACTAGGGTGATGCAAAGCAGGCAATATTCACAAAAGTACCGTCTCAAACAGCTTCATTATATTACACAGCTTGAATCGGAACTCAAAGCCCTTCAAGTAATGACACTAATCTTAGCTTAAGTACAAGTTAATTATTGATTAGCTAATTAATTAATCACTAATTAATCACTAACAGGCTGAAGTAACAATTACCTCACCGAGGATCAAATTTATGGACCGTCAAAATTCACTGCTCCGAGCCGAAAATTACTCCATCAAAGAGAAATTATCCTCTTACGCCGGTGAACTTCTATTCAAAGAAGGTATTTTTTTTTTTCTTTCTCCTTATTTTGGTATATATTTTCGTACATACGCCCGTCCAGTTGTTTGAATTGGCCACCCGAGCAACCTAAATAGTTACAACTCAACCCAACCCTCCCTTCTTTCATAGGGTTGGATTAGATTGAGTTGTCCGGTTGTTTTTCCTTTTATAAAGGATTTAAAAGAATAATAATTATTAACAAATATATTTTAACGTTAACACTAAGATCTCAAAGTTGAAATATCAAGCATGTACAAGTAGTATAAATTTGTGGATCCCACGTCGATTAGAGAGGGAAACAAAACATATCTTATAAGAATGTAAAAACTTCTCTCTAGTAGATGCGTTTTGAAGCTATGAGGCTGTAACGGGCCAAATATGACAATATCTACTAGTGGTAGGCGTGAGCTGTCACAAATAGTATCAAAGCCATACGCTATATGGTGTGCCAGCGAGGATGCTAGGTCCCCAAGAGGATGAATTGTGAGATGGAAACAAAACATTTTTTTATAGGGGCGCAAAAGTCTCTCCCAACAAATCATTCCTTATAAGAGAGTGAAACCTCTCTCGAATAAATACATTTGAAACCCACGAGCCTCCAAAGGGGTGGGGTGGGGTGGGGTGGATTGTTTAGTTGGAGAGGAAAACAAAAACATTTTTTATAAGCGCGTGGAAACCTCTCCCAACAAAGCATTTCTTATAATAGTGCGAAAACTCTCCTTAATAGACGCGTTTTTAAATGGTAAGCCTAAGAGTCGAGTTGACCCGAGAAAAGAAAGTCAACCCATATAACAAAACCAAACATTTAATGTTTTTACAGCCCAATACGAGGAACTGAAAAGGGAGAGAAACATGTTGAAGGAGGTGTACGAAGCATATCAGTTAAAACGGCTGGAAACACTGAAAAACAGCAACAGCAGCCGCAAGAACAACAACAACAGCACAAGCGGTGGTGGTGGAGGAAGCTCTTTCCAATTGGAAGAGAATTGCCCAGAAATGGCCGACAAATCAAACCCATTTAGGATGCTGGAAAACTGAATCAAATCAAATCCATTCAATTTCTTCTAATGGGATTGGATCATAATAAACGGTCAGGATTGCTTGCCCTTGTTTGTGTTTTTTTTTTTTTTTTTTTTTTTTTTTTTTTTTTTTTTTTTTTTTTTTTTTTTTTTTTTTTTT